TTGGTCCTTACATTTAGTAACTGAGCCTTGTTTTCACATCAAGCTCTTAGCTAAAATCCCTATTTAACATCTCATCTATTAGTGCAAGTGACTGGATCACCAATATCCTCAGACTCTCACCTCCATATTAAAATGAAAAGCTTTCACAGCTTCCTCCACCAGTTTCTTCTTTGTCTCCAGGTCCAGGTCCAGCTCGTTCATGCGACTTCGGTACAGCTGCTTAAACGCTTTAGCGCTGTGGATCGCGTCAAACTGGTAGAACTCCAGGCCCTCCCCAGTGGGCGGCAGCTTCAAAGCTCTCTGCGCAACCTTTCTCAGCACTTGACCTCCTGACAGGTCACCCATATAGCGGGTGTAGGCGTGGGCCACCAACAGCACAGGGTCCTCCTGGCCTACCTGGTGGATGCGGTCCACGTAGTGCTGTGTGGCCTGGGAGCAGGTGATCTGACTCTTCCAGTCTGGACCATAGAAATATTCGAGGTCGCGCGCTAAGGCTTCATGACGGTGAAGCTCCGCCGGGAAATATAGAGGGGCGAATTGGGGGTGGTCCTTATTCCTCTCGATCTCCTCCTCCATGGCCGTGTATGTGTGGTAAAGTGCTACGGCACCAAGCTGAAGGAGAAAATAAACAACTTTTTTATATTACTTTTGTCATGTACAGTGAGGAAAATAAGTATTTGAACACCCTGCTATTTTTCAAGTTCTCCCACTAAGAAATCATGGAGGGGTCTGAAATAGTCATCCAGGGGTTGACATTGGGGATTTTCATTTGCCCAGAAACAATTTTTACTTGCCCAGTAAAATGTTTGATAAATATAGTTCCTAATATTTATTTTTGTATATATATATCAATGATTGTTTTTTTTTTTTTAATGTTTTTTGTAATTCAGTATTTTTTAAGTTTAATGAACTCAAGCCTACATTACCGTGTTAACATGCTTTTCAATCCTTCCTACACATTCTTTTCAAACTAAACTTTGCTTTAAACTGTTGTGTGCTTGGAAAAATATTAATTGTAATGTTAAAAATCTAAAAACATATTGACAGGTTAAAAACTTAAGATAAA